GAGATGAGGAGATCCAAGAACAACCTCGGGGGGACACTCTTGGGTTAGCAGATAATTTGTATTGTGTTCACAAGTTTATTTTGTGTTGTGGGTATGGATCTAATGCAGGACTTTTCAGAAGAAGGGTTGTCAGTCCTTAGACAGAAACGTGTCAGGGAACTTCCCTGGAGACATCAATGTGAACTCTTTGTGCTAAACTGAGAGGGAAAAGAATGTTTTGTTAATATAATTTCCCGTAGGTGGAAAGCAAATACTTCAATTGGTTTGGAAGGCAGTGCTTAGTGTTCACAGAAATCAGAGATAATTTGACAGAATGGGGGATTTTTTTTTGAGATGGAGAAAATGTACATTAAGAGAACAGCATCACGACAACTCTTTGCAAAGAAGAGTTTGGGAAAATGGTTATGTTTTCATGTCAGTATATTAGGAAATGAAGAAAGTGGCAGAAGTTATATATACATCATTTTAAAGAAAAGATTCATAGCCCAAAATAACTGTTGTCCTCTTATAACTAAAGATCAGAGCTCAGTAACTCTGAACAACTCCAGTAAATGCCAGTGAGTGAGTGGTCAGAAGTCATTCCTCACATCTCTCTCACTGAGGAACATGAGACATTCTTGTGTTTGGCATCAGGAATTTTTTTTTTTTAATTGCACAGAGAAGGCAAATGTCACAATAACCAGGAGGATCCTACCAGCAGGGCAGAGCAATTCCTGTGCTTCTATGTTGATCCAAAGCCCATCTACACCTGTAGTCAGAGTACATTTACTTCATGCTGTTGTATAAAGAATCATTGGAGTCTGTGTGTGGATGTAAAGCTAAAGCACATCTGCAGTTTTGGATGGGAAAACCAATTTGTTTGGGGGTTGGGGAGGGCAAATGCACATTATAGATCAGGCTAAAAACAAAGAGGCATGTGGTATATCCAGAGGCTTCTGGTTTAGTGCTCTGTTACATCCTGTCTGAAACAAAAAAAAAAAAAAAAGTGAGGAAAAATTAGGATCATGCACAAAACTCTGTCATTCAAGGGCTGCAAGCCTGCAGGATCCAGAAGATGCTGGAAGGAAGAATGGAGTAGAGGAAAGAGGAGCTGGGGCTGGAGGCAGAGCGCCAGAAAGCTGTGCAGGGACTTCAGCAGGTGCTCTTTGTCTGTAAAGCTGCTGGATGCACCCAGAGTTTGTCCCAAATCACTGGTTACTTTTGGAAATGTCGATGGTAGTTTTTTTAAATGTAGAAGTAACATCCAAGGGTAACATCATTGTGCTCATTGTTTGCACAGCATTAGCGGACACACCCCTGTTTTCTGTCAGGCCCCTAGACCTGGGCTGGCAGGGATTGGGCTCCAGGTTTGGGAAACAGGATTGATTTCTGATCCCTGGGAGGGTCCTGTGTGATGCCCCAGGAGCAGCAGAGCTGGGGTTGGGCTCTGGTTACTAAATGTGACTTCATGGGCAAAGCAGAGAGATCTGTAGCACTTAATTGGTGTGCTGCTGTGTGCTGACTTGTCTCTGAACTGTTGGGGTTGTGCATGTTCCTCTTGGTTCTGAGCTCAATTTACATGTGTTTTTTTTAGACAAACACCCCAAAGATCAGACATCCCACTTGCAGCAGCAGCAGCTGTCTTCAGCTTCGCCCTTCAGGTGAGACTCTCTGTGAGTTAAACTGGGTTTTTGGTAGGAATTTGTCTGTTCTCTGGCTGCATGAGATACATTCCTGTTTTCCAGGTGAGAGAGGCACCATTCCCTTCAACCTGTAGTTTGATATAAGAAAAAAACCCAACTGTGTAACCTTTTTTTTTTCTTCTTGTTTTTTCCCTGTACAGGATAATTGTTTTGGATGAGAGCTCTCTCTGTGATTAAAATGGATAATGAATAAGTTGTAACCTATCATCTGCTTACTGCTGTTTGTACAGCCTCTGAATTGCGGGGTTTTTTTGCCACATAAACACTTGTAAAGCCCAGACTTCTTTTAACTGCAGCAGCAAGTACAGAAGAAAATCTGATGTTCTATGTTATAATACTGTTTGTACTGGTTTTATGCCATCACTGCAGTATCAATATCAATATCACAAGCAGTACCAATATTGCAGAATTGAAGTGTTTTCTCAATATCACATCCTTGTGAACCTGCTACGTGGTGTTTTTTTCTCCTGCACGTGCCCATTTTCATAAGCACAATAATTTTGTTGCATTATGCAGTTTTTGGTGTTGCAAACAAAATGATTGGAATCCTGTGGGCTGCTGGTGCTGCTCAGGCACTGGAATTTTTCCATGCTGGAGTGTGGAGCACTGTTACTACAGCCCATGTAGTGTGTGTTTTTCCTTGCTCATTAAATTTAACAAGGTAATTTCTTGTTTTCTCTTTACTTAGTGCTTTTGTGATCTAGTGTTGAACTGATTTGACTGATTAAGGGGATTAATTGCTGTGCAAAAAGCTAATGAGGAAAAAAGCAGTGTTCTCCAGAGATTGCAAGTGCAGCAATATGTTCCCTGCCAGCATTAGACAAGAATATGAGAAAATGTGGGTAGTGTCATGAAGATACCTGTTGTTTAATTCAACCACGTTTTTGGTGGGATGGATAAAAAAAATGGACATAATTGAGCTTTGGATTAAGATATTGATGGGCACAGCAACTTCATATTTGATAAATATGACTTCACATGTGATAAATTCTGTTCACATGCAGGAGGGACGATTGTCCTGTTCCCTGTCTAACACACACAGGGATTTTAGCTGGTTTTGGGTGTGCCACGTTTGCCTCTTCGCTCCTGTTTTTGTAAAGAAATGCTCCCCATCAGTAACTGTTTGTTAATTTGGTTTAACAACACTAATAAAAGTTTCCAAGTTATTGTGCTGCCATGTGGTTTTTTTTTTTTTTTTTGGTTTGGAGGTTCTTTTTGGAGTCTGTTTTGTTGGGTTTTTTACTTGTTATTAGTGATGTTTCCCATCATCAGACCATGACACAACCAGGTACTGATGGAGCTGCTCCAGGGAAGGTGCTGCAGACTGGCAGAGGTGGGGGAGCTTTCTTCAGAAAAGATCAAGAGAAAATAGAAATCTTTCATCCATTTATCATGTTGTGGTAGTGACAGAGCTGAACCAGAAGTGCCAGCAGCAAGGAGGCTGGGATTGGAATTCTGTACCTCCAGATAACAGCAGGGCCAGTGCCTGGGAATGGGGCTCACCCTTGTGCATCACATCAAAAATGCTAAGCAAAGGTTTAAATATAAATACATAAAACATTTAAATATAAATTTTAATGTAAGTAAAATATGAAATATAAACACAAATCTGAAATTAAAATCTAAGTAGAAGAGTATTAAGCAAAGGTTTAAAGCTAAATATAGAAATATTTAAATATAATTTTAATATAAACTGCAAAATATAAATACTAATATGAAATTTAAATAGAAATAGAAATAGAAAAATATTAAGCACATGTTGAATATTTTCTAACCCGGGCTCATACCAACTGGTTTCTCTGTTTGGGAGCTCTGTGTGCTGCAGGCAGAAGAACTTTATATTCCTGATAGAAGCTGCTGTAACAAGATCCTGCTCCACATGGCCCTGGGGCCGAGCAGAGCCTTGTGTTACACTGGAGGAACAGAGGGAAACGACTCGCATGCAGAAGTGAAACTGCAAATTTGTTGTGTGATTCTGTCCTTGGTGGCTTGTGACTCATAGCTGAGGGTCATTCCCTCTCGCTTTGGCAACGTTTTGTTGTGTTTCAGACTTGCTCAATTAAATAAGAAGTAATTAAAGCCCGTAGGGCTGCAGCAGGGTGGTGGAGGGGGGCACACGTGAGTTTTTGCGTGCACTTAATTATGTATCACTTTGGAGATGTGAAATCTCCTCAGCTCCTCGGATTTCTTGTTCTATTTTATCTGTCGGACCAAATGGTGAGCAGGCTGTGAACCATTTCCCTATCTTTTTTTAATCTTAATGTGGAGAATTTTTATTTCTGTTGGTAGGGAGCCTTTCAAGTAGCCCCATAGCCTGTCTGCTCTCCTTATCGAGGCCAGAACACAACACAGATTTCAGTTTTTCGGCCGCTTGTACTTTCCAGATTTAAGTTTAGCATGACTGTAAATCATCCAGATCACAAAAAGCATGGGCACAAAAGCTGTAATTAACAGAAACAATTAAACAAGGACCAGTGCAAGACAGCAGAGAAGATCAGAGGGGCCCATCTAATGCTGCTTTTCAGCTTCCCAGAGAATGAAAGGCCAATTAATTAAATTAAAACAGTGATATTGAGCTGTTCTAATTCCTCTCTGAGCAGCTCACATGCGAGCTGAGCTGTTCTTCACGCAGGAAAGCAAAGTGGAGAGAGGGAGGTTGAGACACAGAGGTGGGGATGAGGATGAATGTCCTGTCCCCCTGCACTGGCAGGTCATAGAGTCATGGAATGGTTTGGGTTGAAAGGGACCATAAAGATCATTTAGTCCCAACCCCCTGCCATGGGCAGGGACACCTTCCACTAGACCAGGTTGCTGCAAGCCCCGTCCAGCTTATTTCCTTCATACCAGTCTGGTTTGGGGATTTTTTTGTTCTGTTCTTGATTTGGAGCAGAGAATCTCAGCTGGAGGAAAAAAAACCCCTCAGTCTCCCACATCTCATCCTCATCATCCGTGGCAGTGCAAATTGCTGGTCTGCCCGTCTGTGGCGGGCTGTGGGCTGCATGTTAGTGAGGCAATTTAGTGAGGTGATGAACAACTTGGAGCGTTGCTTCCCTCTAACTCCTTCGCGGCTTTGCCGCATCGGCAGAAGCTGTGGGAGAGGGTGGGAGGAGGAGGGAACGTGTTTGGGGCTCATCCCTGTGCGCGATTATAGACCCGCAGAGGGGAGAGCCTTGGAATCCTGTGACTGTGGATCATCTCATTTTGAAAGCAATTCAAGTGTTCAGGAGCAAAAATTTGAAAGACAATTAACTCTGAAGGCAGACAGGTTTTTTTTTTTTAAAATAGAGTAATTCGGTAAAAATGAGATTCAGAGACTTGCTATCTGCAGAACTGTCTTTAGAAGCTTTTTCCCTGGGCTCCTAAATCACAGAATCTGCCTCGAAAACTAGAAGTGTGATTGTCTAGATAAACACATTCAAGATCAGGTGTAAAGCTGCAGAGCCCCACGGAGGTGTTTTGGCTTTTATTTCACTCTTGCAGCCTTTGGCATCTTTTGTTTGCTGTTAATGGGCAGCGGTGCCTCTGTTGTGCCTTGACCTCGGGGCCCTGTTACAACCCTGCTTTCACCCTCGCTGGGAAATCAGTGGATTTAAGACCTTTCCTTATTGCCTTAAATATATTAAAAAAAAATACTTTTGTGATTTCGAACTGGGTTTTTTTTTTTGGTCTCTGTTATGATGGTGTATGTGGCACTTGCCACAAGAGACGTGCCAGGAGGGGATGTGTTTTCTGTCGAGCCCTCTTACCAGCCGGTAAAACAGATGCCTCTGAACTGGTTAGTGTTCATTAATGTTTATTAACACAGTCTGCACTTAAACGTGCCTGCTGGATTTATGCCAGATTTCCAGCATGACCTTGAACTTCACAGCAGGCTCGGGCAGCGCAAACAGCACTTGTTCTGTCTGAGGGTGGGGAATGTGCAGCTCTGCCCTCAGACCCCTTGGGATGTGGCATCACAGCCAGACCGTCTGGGCCAAACAACAACTTGGGGTGTTTTATACCGAGGAAAAAATACTGCTCTTTATTTTATTTTCGGGTTTTTTTGTTGTTGTTGTTGTTCTTGAAAGGCTCACAATTGCCCGAGGTGAGGGGCTGGAAGGGAGGGGGTGTCCTTAGGAGAGTGAAATAAAAGTCTGCGGTTTATCCCACGATTGGTGGCTCCTCTCCCATGAGAAGACACTCATGGCTTTCTTTGGAGAACCCTGTGGACTGCTGGGGACTTCAACCTCTGAGAGCCCCCCCTCACGTCCAGCACTGAGCCTGCTCTGTGCCCGTGCTGTACCAGTCTGGGTGGGACAGGCAGAGCCTGGAGCTGGCGCTGGTGCAGGCAGGATCTGGCAGCGCTCAGACGGGGTGAGACGGCATCACCTTATTCTGCAGCCCCTCTGCAGCGATGCCTGGGCGGGGACGGGGGGCAGCCGGAGAGGTTTTCCCAGTCCCCCGGGGGTGGTAACCACAGCACACCATTTGCAGCAGGCAGCTCTGAAACTGGGCAGGGGAGGGGTGGGTTACACGTGACGGCAGAAATCTGGTGTCACCTCTGAGGGGTAGGACGCTGGTTATATTTTGGGTGAGATCTCTATTCCCAGCCCCACTCTTTGCAATTTATTGACAATAAAAGTTTCATTCTGTTTGTTCTGTGTCTTCAATGAGCCGTTTGTGATCTAACATTAAGTTGCCTGACCCCATAAAATCATGGAAGTGGAAAATGAGCTCTTGTTTGGGCTCACAGGCTGCTCCCTCCCTTTCCATTTATTCCCCAAAACCTCGCTGCTTATCCAGGATCGAGTCTGTGACTATGCTCCCAGATAGGATACAAGGTTCCTCCATGTTTTATGAGCCCATTTAGTTGTTCTCCAGAAGCCCCAGTGAAGCTGTGGTTTGTTGACTGACTCCTCTCTCTCTCTCTCACCTGTTTGTTCATGAAGACATAAATGATTGGATTGTAAACTGTGGCTGTCTTGGAGAAGTAGGAGGGCAGAGATGCCAGAGCTGGCTGGATGGTGATGTCTTTGTGGGTGGCCACCACCAGTGCAAAGGTGCTGTAGGGCAGCCAGCAGATGAGAAAGGCCATCACCATCGCCACCACCATCCGGGTCACCTCCCGCTCCGCCTGCTGCGTCGTGTCCGACTCCTGCTGCTGCGCCGCAGCCTGCGGGGGGTTTGGAAGGGAGAGAGATGCCTTGTTAGCAACTTGCAGCAGCATTTCCATCCCTTGGGTGCCCCGATGTCAGTGCCAGGAGGTGTCAGCTCCACTGAGCGTCACAAAAACCTGCTTTGTGAGCAGAAAGCCGTGAGCTCACCTGTGCCCGCCGTGCTTACCGCTCGCAGGGTCATCAGCAGGTTGGCGTAGGAGAAGAGGATCAGTCCGAGGGGCATCACAAAGCAGGTGACAAACAAGGCCAGGATGTAGCTGTTGTTGTTGCTGCCGCCCGTGTACCAGTTGGGCCCACAGGAGGTTCTCAGACCTGGAACAAAGTTTGGAAACAAGGCTAAACCAACGACAGGCTTGGATCGGGGCTCAGTACCAAAACAGCCAGCGCTGACCCTGCTTAGCAATGCCACCCAAGCACCTCTCACTTTTCCTGGAGATCAGCCCCTACAGAAGCAGGTTTTGGCTGGCTGCATGCTGGCTGCTGCTCTGAGTGCTCCAGCAGCCAGAGCAGGTCCTGCAGCGGGCAACTTCCAAAGAACAACCTCCCAGGGAGGATTATTGAGCAGCAGGAGATACCAACACTTTAAATTCCGGCACAGACACTCTCCAGCTACTCTGTGCTTCAAAAGCATATGCAAGATGACCCAGTGGAGTCTGATGCACCCCTCCCCTACCTTCAGGCACGTAGCTGCTCCAGCCCATGAGTGGTGGGGTTGTCCAGAGCAGTGACCAGCTCCAGGTGAAGGCACAGCCACTCACGGCGTGTCGGTGCTTGAACCGAAAGTCTCCCAGGGGTCTGCAGACCACAACGTACCTCTCGAGGGCCAGGATGGCCAAGGACCACAGCCCCACGATGCCTGGGGGGAGAAGGAGGGGTTGTGTCTTAGGGACAGGCTCTGCTGCCCACGCCAGCATGTGGTAGATGACGATCTAAAGCTGTCCAAGTAAATATGGTTTTAACAAGTATTTGGATGTTTTTCTTACAGCAGGGAGAGCTGTGAGGGTATTTGGCCCTTAAAGATGAAGTTGGCAGTGGGTGTCTGTGATGCCTTGTGGTTGCAATCACAGTTTTGCCACAGGAGTGCCCTTGACAAAGGGTTTTGTGCAGTCCGTGGTGCACCCTCACCCACAGGTGTGCTGACACAGCCACCAGCACCCACAAAAAGCACACCAAGCAAAGATTCCTCATGTGCCCAAGTGACATTTCCCTCTCTGTGAGGACCAAGACAGATCATATGGTGACCTGGCACAGCCAACCATCTACCTGACCCTTCCCTGTGCTGAAGAATAGCTGAAGGACACGAGTTTTACCACATGAAAACGCTGACTTTAGGAGATGACAAAGCTGGTGAAACATTCCCAAAGCCATTTTGCTAAAGACAAAAGCACCAGCCAGAGACCAAGGCAGGTCTCCAGGCCCGTGCCCTTACCTGTGAGGGAGACCATGAAGCCCTCCAGCTCGCACAGGCGTTTGCCAAACACGAAGAAGCCGCTGATGTTGTTGGAGAGGCTGACGGAGCTGCCGCAGAGCGTCACCAGCAGGTCGGCCACGGCCAAGTTCACCAGGATGTAGTTCAGGGGGGACCGGAGCTTCTTGTACCTGATGGAAACCACGATGACCAAGCCGTTCACCACCGAGGCAGAGGCCACGACGAGGCCCATCAGCACGGCCACCGACAGGTACACGGCCCGTGGGGCCTGGTGGGGCCACTGGGGGCCATCAAAGGGCCCTGGGGTCCCGTTATTTGGGGGCTCCTGCGAGCTGTCGGGGGAGTACATGGGTCTTCTGGGGCTCCACCTGGTGCAGGTGATCCTCCCCAAAAAGCAAAGCCTCTTTATAGAGCAGGAGGGTCTGACGTGCCCCAGAGCAGCTTTGCATTCAAATGCCTTAAGCTTTATTTTAATCTGCAGGGTCTGTGCCCCTGCCCCCCCCCCGTTTATAATCAGCTCTTTATTCCCGAGGGGATAAAGACTGACTTAAACAAAAATCTGATGACTGAACAGAGCATCATTTAATTGAGTAAATATTTTTTTCCTTGTGCTTTCCAGCTGTCTTTTCCTGTAAGAGTGACCCCTGCCCAGCTCTGGCACTTGGGATGTCATTCCCTGTGCTCTGGGGGAATTGCTGGGCTGCAGGCTACTATATTCATATATATACACAAATATATAAAAATATACATGTACTATATATACTACATTGGGCCATACATGTATTTTCTTCCTCTCTCTGTATTTATTTATTAATTAATTTATTTATTTTTATATATACATTTATACACGTAGTGTATATATACTACATTGGGCCAAGCAGCCCCCAAAGCTCTAGTTTAAAACCATCTCCTGCTCCCCAAATCCTTGCCAGACCCCAAATTCAAAAGCTGCACCACCAGCATCAGCTTTTTTTTTTTTTTTAACCTTTTTATTTTCGGTTCTCGTTATAAATATTAACAAATCCGACAAAAAGTACACGGATAGGTAATACTGAAATACAAAAGTCTTTCAGGATGCAGGTAAGGACGGTTTCTGCAGCCTTAACATGGTAGCAAAACATTGGTATCAAACATTTCACGAGGCCTGGCATGACAACCACCAACTCTGCATGCAGCTGGGACGGACGGACGGACGGGGTGCCCGCTTAGAAAAGACTGGGATACAAAGTGAAGGAACCCCCACACACATGTCCTACTCCACCTCAGGCATAAACCAGTTTCATAGCAAGATATGCCAGAAGGAATGATGGCGTGAAAGGAATTTTGCAAGAAAAAGGGAGGCACAGCCAACCTGGTGCTCCTGGAGCTTTCCTGGAAGCTCAGACCCAAGCCAGGTTTTAAGGTGTTGGACCAGAAAGGATTACTGGGAACATCCGACTTGACACGCTGCCAGCATTCAAATAAAATCCATGCATATCTGTAGAATGCATTACAAATATTAAGTTATTAAAAAAAACCCCTATGAACCTTGGTTTCTTTTATCTTCCCCCCCCCATATCAAACGAGGTGTAACATGATCATCACTTTGAAAAGTAAACATGGATTTCCAGAGATCCCATTGTTTTCCAAGAAAAAAAAGAAGTCAGCAACATGCTCATGTGCATGCACAGGGCTCGGAAGCTGAAGGTAATTGAGGTCTGTGGGGAAAGAGAAGCTCTTCCTAACAAATGATGGTTTAAAGGCTTCAAAAATTTTGGGAAACGTGCAGCATTTCATAGAAAGTTTTAGCTCATCCTTCTGGATGTCCAGTGGGATAAGGATGCAGAGACAGGCCAAGGTAGATCACAGAGGATGAGATCTGGGATTATTATTATTATTATTATCATAATATTATTATATTATTACTGTGCCATACACAGAAGTTTGGTTTGGATGCTGTTTGAGGCAGAAAACGGGCCAACCTGATAGCTGTGCCAGAGCCAAGCATCTCCACAAACAACATTCCAGCTCAGCCCCGAGGCTCTGCATCTTCACTGGGTTTTATTTAATGGCATGAATTGGAAAAGGATGAATAAGGGAGAAATGAGAGAAAAAATTTAGCCTGAAAACTGGCTTTGCTGGAAAAATAGCTGTGCTGCTGCGTGGCTCTGGGCGGGAAGGCGTGGTTTCATCAGGAGAGTGGTGGCTGCGGATCCTGGGAAGCAGGAACAGCCAGGGGCTTCACTGAGCCTTTTTTTTTTGCCTCCCAAACGTGAAGCAGCCCGATCCCAAGAGGAAAACCGTGGTCTGCACAGCTGTGCCGACTTCACATGAGTTATCGGAGAGGACGAGCACAACACTCCTGGAAGAAAAGCAAACACTCTTTCCAGGTTACCAGGGACACAATCATTCCAACAGAGGAGATTTAAATGCGTAAAAGACTGTTTAGGCCCAAACCACAGAGACTTGACAAACCACCAGGGATATGGCACAGTTTTGCCTTGAGGAAACAGTTCCAGGTTTTAAGTGACGCCTTTTGCCGATGCTGGACACACGGACGCAGACGGACGCATTCATTGTTGCCACTTGAATTGCAAGGCAGCGAGAAGGTAACTCAGTACAGCCAGGATTGGGAGAGGAGCCAGACTGCAGAGCATGCAGGCGTGAGGTGTCCACGTGTGTGTGTGTGTGTGTGCGCGCACACGTGTGTGTGTGTGCACATATGTGTGTGTGCACGTGCATGCCCGTGGGCAGGGCTGTGAGTGTGTCAGGGTGCAGGGAGGCAGTTTTGGGACGGGCTGGGCGGAGCAAAGCGCCGACGCCTTCTCCCCTTGGCAGGGGTTTCCCCGCAGCCAGGCCGTGCCGAGGGGTGTCCCGCTCTCCCGGCTGCCCCGGTGCCGCGATCCCCCGTATCCGAAGCCGTAAAGGAGAGAAGTCCAAAGGCTGTGGCGGAGCTGTGGCCGCCCGGGAGCGGCCCCGTGGAGCTCAGTCGCTGAGGACGGCGCCCGGCAGCTCGTTCGTTAGCGTGTGCCAGCGCTCGATCTTCTTGTCCTTGTTCTTCAGGCAGTCGAACCAGTGCTTCAGCCGCTCGCCTTTGGCATTAATTCCTAACACCACTCCACCTTGGGAGAGAGACAGAGACGGGGAGAGGTGAGGCGGGAACGTCAGCCCTGCGAGGGATGCCCAGGGATGCCCAGGGGATGCTGGAGGATGCAGGATGGAGCCAGGACATGCACCATCCTCACAGCATCCAGTGCCATGACCTGATGTGGCACACAGGCAATTGTAGCCCATCTTCCCCGCCCCCCTCGTGGCTGGGAGCTGGGGCCTGTCCCAGGCAGCTTGTTCCTGTGCCAAGGGCTCACTGCAGTCGCAGCAGCTGTCAGAGATACCGGGCACTTGTTAGTGATAAATCACAGAGACTAGGAGCAAAATCACAACAAGCCCAGATACCCAATAGAGATAAATGAAACCTCCCTGTTAAACCTGGTTTTTTGTTCAGAGGAAAAGATCTGAAAACAGAAGGGGAGAGGGAGATGCATCTTCTCCCTGCTTGGGTGCTCCTTACACGGGGGATGTCCGTGTGGGAGAGGAGGCTCAGGTGCAGGAGAGGGATAAAAGCAGAACCAAAACCCAGCAAGAATGAATGTGGGGATGGAGAAGTGCAGAAGAGCAGCAGATGAAAAAGTCAGAGGCACAGATAGTGAAGATAAATAAAAAAGAGACCTTCTGGAGTGCCCCACTCACCTATGAAATCGTTTGACTTGCCGATATCATAGTCCCACACGGTGACTTCCAAGGTCTTTTTTGCCAGGTCGCCGTGCTTTATCTCATAGCAAAACTCCTGTGGGGGAGCAGAGACAGCTCAGGATGAAACAGGAGCTGGGGCTGCCCATCCTTCTCCTTGGGCTGCTGCCCTTTGCCACCCACAGGGAACCCAACCCCGATCCCCCACATAGTTACTAAAGTGTTGTTTTTATCTTTTAAGTCTGAACACCGAGAAAAGCCCCTCGTTGAGAACTGCAACCACCCCAAACCCACCTCATTGAACTCAGGGTTCAGTGTTTTCTTCTTCACCGCCGTCTTGTGCTTTGATTTCTTGTCCTCATCTGGTTTCAAGTATCTGCAACGAGATTGAAGCAGCCCCATCACATGTGGGTGCTGAGGAGAGCAGGATGGGACCAAATCCCAGTGGAGGCAGGATGAGGTGGGCAACTGAGGCCCATGAACCCGTGGCTCTCCTTCCCCTGTCTTCCCCTGCTAAAATGTTGGGAATGCTGGGAGGAGGCAGCATTTCCTGACCTTAGCACAAGCAAGTTGCTGGCTGCAGAGAGCACTGATTATCCCATCTCCAGTCCCTAGGGGACACTGGCACTGCACACATGCTCCCAGCTCCCAAAACCAATCACTCCCAGCCCAGTCCCAGTCCAGACTTGGGACTCTGCTACCAGTCTGCTCATCCAGAGTCTCTCCAGGAGACAGGAAGCACATGCAGCGTGGAAAAGGGAGCAGGAATGAATGTGGCAACTGCAGCTTTAGGCACCACTGTTCCCTGTGGATATTCTGCAGCACAGCAGCAGGGCTGGAGAGCAAACAAGATTAAAGTGTCATCAGAAAGAGCACCTGAAATCTGGGCCAGAGCAGAGTCAATCCATTGTCGTTTTGTGCTGGTGCTGTGCCTTTAAATATCAGTTCTGCTTCCTTGTTACACTTTCCAGATCTTGCTCATAATTAAAAAATTAGGGCTTGTACTGAGAAGCATCACTTCTCTATCTGCTCTGACTCCAGCCCTGCTGATACAGTCTCCTGTGGATGGCACCTAAAACAAGTTGGGTTCAACAATGGGAATTGTGTTGCTCTTGGGCATTTAAAAAAGCAAGAGGGGATTTTTATACAAACACCTCCACCCCTAGAGAACAATTATGTAGGAAGGTCAAAGTGTCCTGCTGATAAATTCCATTACTGGTCTCCCAGGCGTGGTTTATCCCAGTAGTTCTGCCTTAAATACTGTCCCTGGAAGTGCCCAAGTTTGCGTGAGTGCTGTGGGAACAGGGATGTGGGATGGGCACAGGGAGGGCTACTGGTCCTTCCATTCCATGGCCACCCTTTCTTTGCAGAGAGTGAATGTGAAAAATACCATTCCCCCCAAAAAAAACAGGAGCTGCAGCAATCCAGGGCCTCACACCAGCCTGGCTCTGCATCAGCAAACCATCACCTCCCTCAGCATCTCTGGAAAGCCCCTGGGTGACACCAACTTCCCTGAATCACTTGGGTGAGGCTGAGTCAGCAGCCCATTACAGTCATATGCACTTCATATCGCTGATGTTTTTCAAAAGGAAGGTGTTCCCAGTCATTTACATCGGGAAGTGTCAGTGGGACCTGTGAACGTGCCCTCAGCTCTGTTAACAGGGCCCTGGAGCCACCGGGGCCGT